GTGGGTTTAGGAATCCTCTGAATGACCTCAATATGTTTTGGACTGTCTGGTGCCTGAAGCCAGAACAAAACCTAAGTAATCAACCTTTGATTTACACAATTGCATTTTGTGTTTTGCAACCTTGTGACCCACAGTTGCTAAGTGTTTGAGCAAACTGACAGTATCCACAGTGCTTGCCTCATAGCTAGGGCTACATAACAATAAGTCATCAACATATTGCAAAAGGACGGAACCATGACCGGGGGTCCATGTTTTTAGAGTATGTTGGAGTACCAGTGAATAAACGGCTGGGGAATCCACATAGCCTTGGGGTAAACGTGTCCAGGTATACTGACAGCCTTCAAAAGTAAAAGCCATAAGTAGCTGTGTCTCTTGATCAATAGGTATAGAAAAAAATGCATTACTTAAATCAATGACAGTGAAGCAAGTGGCATCATGTGGAATGGCTGTAATGAGGGATGTCACATCAGGGACAATGGGTGCAATGGGCACAATTAAACTATTCAGGGCTCTAAAATCCTGAACTAAGCGATAACCATTACCTTTAGGAACTGGATTAATAGGTGTGTTATATGGGGAAACTACTGGCTTTAGTATTCCCTGCTCTAGAAAAGATTGGATCATGGGGCGATCTCAACCTTGGCTTCTGACAGGGGGTACTGTTTAAGGTAGATAGGAGTTACAGCTGGTTTTAGTTTGGCTTTGTAAGGGGTGCAGTTGACAAATCCTACATCTAACTTAGATGAAGCCCACACAGAGAAGGAACATCAGACAAATCAATAGTTTCAGAACACAACATAGACACATCAATACCACCAGAGGGCGTGCAAGTAATAGTAGCTCCCAGAATACCAAGAAGATCCCTTCCCAGCAAATTAACAGGACATTTAGGTATTAGACGAAAAGGGTGCACAGTAGAAGAACCATTAAGAGGACAGAAAACAGACAGTGGTGGTGTGACAAAAGTGGGGGTTGACACTCCATTAATACCCAATGAAGGTGTAGACTTCTCCCTTGTCCCCTGATAATAGGTATCACAGAGACTGGAACACGTAGCTCCAGTATCTACCAAAAATGGCAAGGATCTACCTTCTATGACCAGAATGCAAAAAGGCTGATCATCATTAGTAGAGGACAAAAGTGGAAAAGTTGGAGTGTCACCTTCAAGGCAGCCCTATTGGGGCCATGGGATGTGATGGGTGTGCTGTGAATGGCCCTAATGCAGTTTGGGTTTGCTGGAGCGGGGGGGGAGAGGGAAGTGCTAGCCAGTGGTGTTGGGAGTGGGCCTGGTGTTGTTCTTGCCTACCGGGCGTATTTTGATAATTGTGGGGTTGTTGGGGTTTCCTGGGGTGTGGACACTCATTCCTCCAGTGGCCATGCTGGCCACAGTTGAAACAAGTGTTCCTGTCTATTCCTCCTTGGTTACCCCTGCCCCTATAACCCTGATTTCCCTGTCTCCATCCCCTTGCCCCTCTTTGACCACCCCTTCCACAGGCTCTATGTGCTCCATCCCATCCTCTCTCTCGGGCCTGTGTAGGTGGGCAGTGTTGCAATCCCTGAGCATAATAAGCAACCTTACTTCCTGAATCTTTTCTTAAATCAAAACAACCTGCATTTTCCTTCTCAATAACCTTGGTAAGAAAATCGGAGCCACCCAAATTGTCCCAGTCTGAAATCAACTGTTTCACAAGCAAAGAATACTGTGGCAACATATTACCAAGGCATGACTGTATTTTAAGGAGATCCATATCATCTCCAGACTTCAAACCTGCCTCATCCTTCCAACACTTGTAAAATCTCTTTACAAAAACACCAATCTCTTCCTTTGCACCTTGCTTACATGCCAAAGCAGTGGATATAGACTGCTTATTCTTCCATAATCTCAACATTTCAGCTTCCACCTCATCCCACATTTTAGCACATCCTGCTGAAGTACTAAGCTCATAAACACCATCACTGCCAGCCACTCCAACTCCAGTACCGTTATCTGTCTCACTGATAGAGGGTACATTAGACCAATTCCAACCAGAATCTGAATCATACCCTAATATTCCATTTATAATTAACTGTATGTCTATCTGTGTCATGTTCTGTCCTAAACACATTCTTTTCAGATACATTAGGCATGCAGAGGGATTAGTACGGGGGTTTGGGGCACCTTGAATAATGTCCTTGAGTACTCCGGGATTAATGGGTTTCATTATTAACTGATTACCAACAGTCATAAACGGGGCAGTAAGATCAGCACCTTCTAATTCTGGCATCTCTACATCATCATCATCACCTTGCTTATGTACATATGATTTTAACACCTTGCCACTTTTAAGTTTAACTCCTGTTTGTACTGTTAATTTAACTGTACCAGGAGGTGGCGGTGGGTATTCTATATCAGAATCTGGTGTAGATGATGATTCCTGTAATTGCTGTGATTGTGAATTAACAGCTGCAGCAACAGAAATATCTTCTATATCATCCTCTGAGGGGGCATTAGGTACAGCAGGATACATTGCTTTATAGGGAGGTGGGGGTTGTGGTTGGGCATGGCCGGGGGCTGACTGGGTAGGGGGCACAGTTGGTGGTGGATATAGATTCTCAGGAGGGGCTTCTATAGAAAAGCAAATAGTATTACTGTCAACAGTTCCCTTTCTCTTAGTCAGGTGTTTCTTAGCTCCCTTTAAAACCTTTCCTGTTACACTACAAGGAAACCAATGAGGGGCTATCAGCAACCAATTTTCACCTCCTGCTTTCATATATTCCTTATCCCAATCTGGATCAGGACCATACCACGGCCATGACTTCCTATCTCCCAAACACAATCCTCGAATCATATTCATATGGAAATCATCATTAGCCCCAGACCTGGGAAAAGGATCAGATGACTTCATAGTCTCTGTCCATCCTGCTAAATTTGACACAAAGAGGATTGTAAGAAATCCTCCTTGTGCTCTTATTCTAGTAACATAATTTAGACATGACTCCCCTGGGTGGGGTAAAGGGTAAGAAATAGACTGATTATTTCCCATATTTCTGGCTCAGGGTAGAGACACTACCTACTTACCAATAGTGTGTCTCTACTTAACAAGCAAAATAAACACAAAGCAGACACAGGGTGACCAAAGGAACGAGAAGTTTGGGTTATTCTAGATCTATAAACCGTGTTCCCTAGAACACCTATAGTCTTAATAAACCGGAGACTCCTTTATAGTCTCAAAACCCGTATCTACCTGAGATACCCTGTATCTATCTTAGATACTAACCTGGGTTACCAAAACCCTATATATATTTAGACCAAATGTCTAATAAACCGGAGACCTATTTACAGTCTCAATATAACTAAGTCCTTATACCTTTCCTTTCTACTGGATACAGACTTACTAAACCAAAGGGGGTCATAGACAATTAGCGTCAATAAGACACAAAAAGGCTACTCACCCAATGGTTTTGCTGATCCCACTTCTAGACACCAAGCTGAAAGGGTAAATGCTGTTCTGGACTCAACTCCCCTCGATTCTCGCTCCTTCGATCACCACATCAATTGATGGGAGTTCTTGTTTAGCAAATAAGACACACAGACACGAAAGAGTGCTTAACAAGTTCTCAATGAGTATATTTTCAGGGCTAGCATTTATACACAGTTTCTCATGCAAGCAGTGAAGTCTATAGTGTCCTTGTGGTTAATAGTACATACTTGTCGGACATGAAAAAGATAAGCATTTGGATGAAGACGAGACAGGAACATCCTAAGGTCAAGGAAGGTCATACATCCTGTAGAGGAAAGACCTTGGTACAAAATACATCTGCCAAAGTCAGCATAATTATTTCAAACATTATTTTAAAGAATATAAAGCAAAAAGAGTTAACCATTTCACTTCCTTACACAGAGGAAACAGGGCTTTC